TCAGCACTTAATTTGCTTGTGAGTGGGTGCTTTTTATATATTGTGGGCAGTTAAAACAGTGTTCGTCACACAGCATTCGGAGCATTTCGCATGCGTTAAAAGCCCATCAATTTTGTAATTATCTGGAGTTCTTCAAATATGCTTTAAGTAAAAGTACAAGTATATCGAAAAGTTTTTGTGTCTCCTGTTGTAATATTGTTATCTCCGCTGCTGCTGCTGCTGCTGGTGCTGCTGGTGCTGCTCTTCTTATTATTTTCTGTTGTTATTTTTGGAGTGAACTGTCGCACACGAACGCACAGCGGCGAAAAACTTTAAAAGAAAATGAAAATTCCCAAAGGAAGCATAGATAATGAGCACAATGCCACCCCAGCGGAGAGTAAAAGGAAGAGCAAGAGTGTGACTAGCCAGTGCGTCAATTCGTCAGTTTGTCAGTTAGCCAGTGCGACTGTTGCCCAGTTTGTCTGTCAGCCGGCTGGGGTCGGACTTCTGGCCACGTTGTCAGCCATTTTGGCCGCAGTCACAGCGAAACGGCGTCCAAGCATGTTGCCATTGTGCCTCCTCCACTTGTCTCTTGTCTCTTGTCTCGTCTCGATTCGACTCTCTCGACTGGGTCGCTGTCTCTGCCGCAGTCGCAGTCAGCGTCGCTGTCAGTGTAGCCGTAGCCATCGTCATTGCCTGTCTCTGCTTTTGTTTTTAGCCATTGTTAGTTGGGGGCTCTGTGGCTGCCGCTTTTGCAACATTTGAATGATTCTCGTTGGTCGTGTCAGTCCCACGGGTAATTATTGACACGGTTGTATGCACGCAGCCCAAAAACATATACACGCATACATACATATATATATACATATATATACACAGAGAGAAACTGAACAAGAGGAAAACGCGCAACGAGCACAAAAGCAAGCGGCACGTTGCTTTGCCACGCGAAATAATAAAAAAAAACCCCCAACTCGAAATAATAATGAAAATGTCGGCAACGCCATAGGGAAAGGGAACGTCGACGGGTGACCGTTGTTAAAGGTGCTGCCAGAGGGGGTGGGGGTTGGCAGCAACTTCGATGTCGGTCGCACTTAACACGCACGGCTACATTAAAACCAATGAAAACTACAATTTGCCAACGTATATTACTACATTTTTATCATATACCCGTAATGTGGATAAGCATTTATAGCCCCCTCTGCTGCGGCGCTGTGCTGCCAATGGTTATTAGAACTATGTCAAGGGGTTTTCCAACTACAGAACAAAATATGGTTTTAGTGCATAGTGCATATGTATATGTGAACTAAGTTGATATTACTATAAATTTAATGATTCCATAATGCAGCTATTTACTGAAACTACTGTTTAGACTGTTTAAACATTGGTGTCTTCAGTTACTTTCTCTTCCTATAAGCTAAAGATATGTTCAATTTATTTATCATTTTTGTCAAACTTTTCTTGGCCAGTTAATCAAAGAAGAGCATTTTAGATTCGTTGTATTGGCGCAAAACATTTCTGGCTGGTTATTTAGTTTGAAAAATGTATATAGCCCAGGGGCAGGTTTTATCTATTGTGGGTGTGTTTTCAGCGTGTATGTGTGTGCTCGCAGCAACCCCAAAATGGCAGGTGGCAATAGATATATGGATAGGCACTGTAGGCAGCCATGTTTTTTTATATTTCTTTATAACATTAAATTTCATTTGGTTGTGTGTTATTTTATTTATTATTTTTTTTTTTTGTAAGATAGTAATTAAGAGCGCTGACTATAAATATATTGTTGGAGTGCAGAAGGCGCATCGCGTGGGCGGTTTTTGAAATAAACACATAAATTACAGAAATAGGGAATTGAGTTGAAAAAAAATACAACGAAACACAGGTTCAAATGAAATACTGAAAAATATTAGTAAAAATGATACAATAATAAGTGACAATAAATTAATGAGTATTATTTTATTCTGAAAACACATGAAAACCGATCCATAAATAAAAATTATTGCAATTACGGTTCTGTATTATATGCATGTGTGTGTATCCGTGAGTTTGTTTATATATATATATAATTTGCCTTTTTACATACATTTATTGAGGCCTCAAACTGGCTTTCAATTATGCACATTTGGAATTTGTTTGTTTTATTCTGCATTTAATTTTTTGTGATTGTATGATTATTATTATTTTCGGCTTTCAAAATGTTGTCAGGCTGATGAAATTTTTATGTAAAATTACTAACCGAAATGTTGTGTATGAAACTTTTTATCAGCTTTCAGAAAAATATGCATAAATAATAAATGCATTTAATTTATGTGCTTAATTCAAGTCTCGTGCACCACATTAGAGTAAAAAGGGCAATGAGTCCGAATAAGTAATCAGCGAAATACTATAATCGGAAGGAAATGATGTGCTTAACAATTAAGAAACCCCGGAGCGGTTTGACCTTGACTAAATTTAGCCAATATTATGAGGAATATAGATCAATTAAATTTCTGATTCAGGGTCGCTTTTATCACCCCCAAAATCAACGTGAATTGGCAATGAGATATCAACAGCCACATTTAAAGCCCTATAAAAAGTGTGTAAAATAAAACGCTTGTTAATGACAAATTTCATTAACGATCTCCAGCAGGCAACAGCAACCAAAACAACAACAATAACAGCAACAACAACCACAAAATCAGCAACATCGGGGCGGGGGGTTATTAGTTAATTGTGACGTGGGCAATCGCATTATAATATGCCCAGTTAATTGTTAATTGCTTTTCGAACACTTTAAGCAAACAACAACAAAAACATAAATACTCGCAATTATCGCAATGGGAATCGATTCCAATTGGGTTGCTCGCTCGGCCGAAACAAAAAGGCTCTCAGTTACATACAATCGCCGTTAAACTGTCCAGCACAATGACTTCTAAACTGTGAACATCATTAACCGCTAATTAAATACTAAAAAAAAAAGATCTTTCCAAATAAAATTCTTGTGTGTGTTTTTTTTTCGAATAATATTCTCTTTTATTTGTTTTTTTTAAGTTTTTTTTTTCTTTTTGTTTTCTTGGTTTTAAATTTCTCTGTGTATGTGTGTGTAAGTGTGTGTGTGTGTTTTGGTGTGTATTTGTGGGTGGAATGTACCGCTTTGTTGACTTGGTGCTTCCATATGTAGTAGCATAATTTATTATACAATTGAGGGCATGGCTTAATCATTAATATTTATTTGTTTTACTTTCATCATCGTCTTGGGACAAGTTCTCTCGTCTCTTTCTCCTATATGCATAGTTTTCAACATACCAAACAAAATAACTAAACAAAAGTATTTGTTGCATTTTTTATACATATTCGTATTTTATAATTACACCCAAAAAAAAACTAAAAGCAATTTTAAGTAATAGGTAAAAGTTTTGCGTATTTATGTTTTGTTTTGTTTTTGTTTTTTTTTTTTTTGCATTTTCATTATGTTTGTGGTTTTCATTTATACAATAAAAAATTAAAAAACGGCCACTTTTATAAAAGTTGTACGTATATCAAAAAACACGAAGCACGTTTTTTTCTTTTTTCTTTTTTTTTGTATACACATCTATTATTTTTGTTTGAAATAATTTTAGTTTTTCATTTAAGATTTTTTTTTATGTATTTAGTATTTACTTTTTTCAAATGTACATCAATTAATATTTTACAATTTAGCATTTTTGTATTTGATTATTTTCGTTTAAATTTTAAGATTTAGCTATGTGTGTGTATGTGTTTGTGTGTGTGGTTGTGTGTATGTGTGAGTGTGTATTTTCGATTTGCTTATATAGAAAGTACAGTACTAAGTAACTAAACTTCATGTGCCTATTCATTAAATTACCGCCTAGAAATTACAATTTATATTTATGCATGCTTGTCGCTTCATTTATATGTTGTATTATTTTAAATGTTTGTGTTTTTGTTTTGTCGGTATTTATTAAAAAATCTACAATTGCATTTAAAGCTAAAAATATGACTTAACTGTAGTTTTATTTACAGAATGTTGGTTTTTGTATATTGTTTTTTTTTTTATTTTATAGTTTTAATATTCGTTTTTTCTTTCTGGTTCTTGCGCCGCGCTTTAAATTCTAAGTTTTGTTTTACGTTTTTATTTTTTTGCATTACTTGTTTATCTTGTCAGATTTTATATATATATATATATATTTTTAGAGTACAATCTACTGGCTATATATATATTTATGTATATATATATATATATATATGCACGGCTGCTTAATAACCTATAACCCTAGCTAGATCCGAGTCATCAGTGTCTTTTGCGGTGGCGATTCAAACCACTTGAGCTCTATATTATTTATTATTTCATTACTTTAATTTTTCTTCTTTTTTTTTGCTATATCTCTAAACTTCACACGGGCGACAAAGTGTTGAAAAATGTTGGAACGGGGAAGGTGGGAGGGAGGTTCAAATGGTTTTAAGATTTACCTTGCTTGTTGGAACGCAGCTGAAGGCCAAAGGTTGATTTAAAAGTAGTATGTGTGTTCATTTTGTCATGTTTAGCATTTCTTAACACTTGTCGCACTTTAGCTAGTTTTCGATAATCGATAATCGATTCGATTTCAATTCGATTTTTCATTTATACTTTAATTTAGATTTAAAAACAACATCACTTGGTTTCACGTTTGATTTGAATTGCGTGTTTTGAAATTATCTTTTAAAATTTTTACATACGAGTTCGTTATTTTTTTTTTAGTTTTTAGTTTATTTAGAAAGTTTTTGAAACTTTAAAGTTGAAAACAAAAAATATAATATGTATATATCAAAAAAGAAAGGCGGCGGTGCCAGCAGCAGCAGAGTATCTTCCATCTACACTGCCTCGACTACTCTTCTAGGTTTTATTTTTCGAAGTTGTAACACAGATTAATGCACTGGGTAAAAATGTTGGAGAGCCAAGTCCTGGATTCGAGGATACGAATCTAGGGCTGCTCACGCTTGCAATGCGGCCACCGGTCCGGCAGTGGGTCCTAGGAGGACTCATAGCCAAACCAGGCGGCCGACGAATGCTATTCACCACCCGCACCGCCGCCCCCAAAGCTATTGAAATGACGCACTGCACCCGGCGCTGCCGCCGCACCAAACTGCAAACTGAGCTCGAATAAGCGGCGCGCATGCAATTGCTGCTGCTGCTGCTGATGGTGATGATGCTGCTGGTGATGATGGTGCTGATAGTGATGATGCTGATGCAGCGCCGCCGCCGAATGCGCATTCAAATTGAGATGACCGCCCAGCACACTGGACGCCGTCGAGCCCGGCGACACGGCGCCGCCCGCCGGCTGCAACGTCAACCCACTGTTGCTGCCCGCTCCCGGCGAGAGTTGGGAGCTATTGCTGCCACCGCCACCACCACCACCTCCGTTGCCCGCCGTCTGCTGCGATTGGAGATGCTGGGCGTGTGGATGCTGCAGCTGATCGCTGGTGTGGAATAGATGCGGATGATGCGCGGGATTCAAATGCGGATGCTGGTGCGGATGATGTGGATGGTGCGCATGCTGATAGCGCATGGGATCCATGTACATGGCAGCTGCTGCAGCGGCTGCTATGCTGGATGCCTGTTGCTGTTGTTGCTGTTGTTGTTGCTTCACTTGCTCCTCATTGTTGTTGTTATTATTGTTATTATTATTTGTGCTGCTATTGTTGTTATTGTTGTTATTATTATTATTGTTTGTCTGACCGCCAGCGGAGGAGCTGCCCAGGGGGCTCTGCGGTGACATGACCTGTCCCTGGCTGGTCATCGTCACCGAGGAGCCCGCACTCGATGAGGGTGTGTTGGGCGTGTGTTGTTGTTGTTGCTGCTGCTGCTGCTGTTGTTGCTGCTGCTGCTGTTGCTGCTGTTGGTGTTGCTGCTGCTGTTGGTGTTGCTGTTGCTGTTGGTGTTGCTGTTGTTGTTGTTGCTGTTGGTGCAGACTATTTGCAGGAGTGGACGCAGCTGCAGCTGAGTTCGACTCCTGGATTTCTGATTGCTAGTGGGCCGCCAACTGATGCGCCGACTGCATGTTCTGGGGACTCAGCATGGGCGGACTGTGGCTGTGCGAATGGTTGCCCATGGGGCTGCCGTGCATGTCGTGGTGCGTGTGATAGCCCCCATGATGCATATGTCCGGGTGGCATGCCATCCATCATATCACCGCCGAGTGTATTCGGTGGCGTCATCCGTTTCTCCTTCTGCCGTCGATTGCAGAACCAAACGCGCACCACTTCCTTCTCCAGCTGTAGGGAGTCCGCCAGCGATGTGATCTCCTGGGCCGAGGGTTTGGGCTGCTTATGGAAATGCTGTTCGAGTGCGCCCTTCACGCTCACCTCGATGCTAGTGCGTTTCTTTCGCTTGCGTCCCTGTGCCGCAATCTTATCAATGGACGTCGGGGAGCCCGTGGTGGAGTCTGCCTCCTCGAGCCACTTTTGGAGCAGTGGCTTCAGTTTGCACATGTTCTTGAAACTTAACTGTAGAGCCTCGAAGCGGCAGATTGTCGTCTGCGAGAAGACATTGCCATACAGGGTGCCCAGAGCGAGTCCCACATCCGCCTGGGTGAAGCCCAGCTTGATGCGACGCTGCTTGAATTGCTTGGCGAACGCCTCTAAATCATCAGATGTGGGCGTGTCCTCCTCACCGCCACTGATCGCATCGCGATCCCCGCCCCCACCGCCGACCATGTGATGGGCATGGATGTGCAACTGTGGCGACTCGCCGCGCAACGCATGATGCAGTGGCGCCACCTGAGCGGCATGATGGGCCGGATGATGATGCAGCATGCCGTTCATCGCCGCATGATGATATTGCAGCGGTGAGCCACCCGTGGGTGCATAGTGACCGGCATGTGGCGCATGCCATGCCGCGGCCGCATGTGGCGAGGCCATGCCCTGCTGGATGCGTGTCTGTTGCGACAAATGTGACATCTCCTGTTTAACGGAGTCCACGGCGGCAGCGGCGGCGGCGGCGGGATGATGATGCGTCGCATGATGTGTTGGCAGCGACCACGGATCGGGATGCAAAGCACTCCAGCTGCCCAGACCCGAACCGGGCGTCAAGCCGCTCAAGCTGTTGCCCTGCCCCCCACCCACCACCTGGCCATTGGGCGATGGCGACGATGGCAACTGCTGCTGATGGTGCTGCGATGCGGATGCAGCAGCCGCGGCGACAGCGGCATGGTGATGATGATGATGCTGCATATATTTCATTTCGCCCGCATCGGCCGCAGAGCGGGGCGATGAGGTGTGATAGCCACCGCCACCGCCGCCACCGAGAGCCATGTCGAGATCACCGCTGGGCGGTGTCATATAGGAGGTAGCGGCCATCCCCACCGCTCTGGGGCTGTTCAGGCCCTCCACGCTGGCGGGGTAGGGCTCCAAGTTGGGGCTCAGTTTAACGACTTTGTAGACCGATCGATCGAAAGGAAGACCTGAGTCCCTATGCTCATTCCACTCGAACCGTGAGGCAACCGTTTTGAAGTCTTTTACTGGCAACGTGGCGATGTTTGAAATGATCAACTCCTCTACGCTGTTGTTGCTGCTGCAGTTGTTGCAGTTGTTGCTGCTGCTCTTGCAACACACACACAATTAACGCACAACACACGAGACAACAATTTGAAAACACACTCAACAAGTTTCGTCACCGACGGCAAAGACGAATCCAAATTCTGGCAAATTTTTCGCTTTTCGATTTTTTTTCGTTTATTTTATTTTTTGCGCAGTTTATCAAAAATCATTTAGTGTATTAATTTTCGATAGCTTTTCATTTTAGCTTTCTTAATATTTTTTCTTATTTTTGTTATTGTTGCACTTTGTTTTGCTTGGGGATATTAAAACACTTGGCACTTGGACTATTTGTATTTTTACTTTTTTTTTTGTTGTTGTTTAAATATTTTGTTTAATTCGTTGCTCCGATTGCGTTGTTGTTTGTTGTTTGTTGTTTGTTATTTGTTATTATTAGTGTTGATCGTTGTTGTCAAGTCACAAGCACATGCTATTCAAGATTGATGATATTCAGAATTGTGATTGAGATTTTTTTTTCAGATCGCCGCCACACAGCGCACATAATAATAATAAAATACACACGGAGAGAAATTGAACACACAGAGACTGATGCTGCTGCTGCGGCTGCTGCTGCTGCTGCTGATGTTGCTGTGTGTGGATGGATGAGTTGTGGAGAGGCCTATTGGGACAAATTCACGTGCAAACTCGTAGAGCTATCGAAGTGAACTAACGTCATGCAGCGGCCAGCGGCGCTACGTAGACGGCCCGCTCTCGAAACGGCTCGACAGTCAATACGACGACGACGACGACAACACACACACACACACAATAGCACACACATACACTTACTCACTCGCACAGACAGCGCGACTCATTCGAAACCAGTTTTGCAACCCGTCTTCCAATGCGCCATGCGCGCAAGCGAGATGCCACACATGCTACACATACCGTGCTGTATGTGCGAGCGAACTGGCTGGTGAGAGCGTACAGCAACTGGAAGTCGACTTGCGCTCTATTGGGCTCACACAGTTCGGCTTTCCAGTGACGCCCACCAAAAACAAAAAAAAAAACAAAAAAAAACAAGCAACGCGTCGCATTCCCATGCAAAGAGTGACATTTTTAATTGCCACAAGGGAGAGTGAGAGCGAGAGAGAGAGAGAGAGAGAGCGCTGTAGCGCTGCGGAGGCCTTTGTCCGACTCAAAAGCTTTTCCGGCACACAGTTGTCCTGGCTGCCTGCTGCTTGCCACAAGGAAGCTTTGTTCAGTTCGCTGTCGCTCTTTGGCCGGCCAACTTTTGCTTTCATTTTGTTGGTGTGCGTGTCTGCCTGTGTGTGTGTGTGAGTGTATGTGTATGCCTGTGTGTGTAACTTTAGTGGGGCGTGTGCATATAATGGGGCGGGCAAATTGCAATGGGCAACGGGTAACTACGAGCAACACACACACACACACACACACACATACTATCTCAGCCCGATATCGGGAGCATCATCTAACAACTGTAAAAATCAGTCGCACATTAATTGAAATGTATCGCGGCAAATAAATTTGCATTCAAATATGCTTGTAATGTTTCAATCTTCGTCCAGTTTTAAGCTTTTTTGTTACTTCATATTGTCTTTTTGTTATGCATATGATTTTGTCAGTTACTTTCAAAGAAAGGCCCATTGTCTGCCCTAAACTATAAACTGTTTCTCGCCGTGTGTGTTTCGTGTTGTGTTAGTTTTTTTGCTGTTTTGTTTTGGTACTCGCGATTAGTTTACCGTTAAGCATTCTCCTACTGGCTAGTTATTGATTTGCGTGAGCGTGCCAAGTTTATATTTATTTATTGTTATCGTTTTACAGTATATAATGTTTGCACGATTTGCCACAAAATAGGCTTTGGGGTCTTTTGTCTGTGGCCATTGTTGGATTTGTGCGATTTTTGATTTAGTGGAGCTTCCCAGATAAAAAACAAACAGTTTTATGCCCATTCTCAATTTGTGTATTCTCTCAAAGTGCTTAACATTTTTGGCACAAATGCAGCGACAGCTCAGTACACTGCGCAAAATGTTATATATTTACTTTGAAAAGTACTTTTGATGGTGAGATTCTGTTGAAATCGGGCAAAATACTACACTAACGTTAATCCTTAATTAATAGCAAATGTTTATTGGCTTTTTATTAGCTTAATGAATTTATCAAGCATTTAGTAAGGCCATAACAATATAATCTTTAATAATTGCAGTCGTGTTCAACTTTTCAGCACTGTTTAATTTAATATATTTAATTGCATTTAAATGCAGTCAGCAGCATGATAATATATATGTGTATATATATACGTATAATAAAATATTGAAATATTATAAAGATTTTATTATTGCATTTATTTCTGTTCGCTTCTGGCTTTTGAAATCATTTTCAAAGTATCAAAACTTAAATCATTAGGATAATGTTTTAGTATTTATAGTATATTTTACATTTTGTCATATCTCTTTGACATTTAAGGAATGTTGTATTTAATTATATTTATTTATCCAATTGCCCCAACGGTATCATGAAATTTTTAATTGTATTTTATTGATACAATGTTCTAGTTGTATATATTGTATATCTCTGGCTCACAACCTGTTCCATATTCTGCAATCAGTGTTAATTGTTTAAACCAGTCTATTCATCAACAATTTATTTGCCTTAATTGCGTTCCACATTAAGTGCCCTCAACTCTCTCCACCGCACTCTTTCTTTCTCTGTATACCTGTTTCTCTCTATCTATGTCTTCCTTTACTATTATTATGCACAACTCTTGCGGCAGGTCAAGCGTCCAGGTTGTGTCAAAAATTATGCAAACTAAGGTCAACGCCATCAAAAACAACAAACAAACAAACACACACAACATATTTGCATCACTTTGTTTACATTTTTCTGCTGCTGCTGTTGTTCTTGTTGTTGTTGTTCTGTATCCTTTTGGCCACACACTTGGGCATAATTAATAAGCCGCAGACCGAGCTAAACAGTCACAGTCATTGCCTGAAAGTTTGTCACTCAACCGAACAAACGGTCCTTGGGCAAATTTACATGATAATTAGGTGGCGGCGCTAAATAACAAAAAAAAATATGGAAAAAAATATACATATTTAAATTTCAAATGACGAAAAAAATCCTGTTTTATTTGCCGCTGCAGGTCTTCCAACCAGCAACCCGCCCCTGGCCCTCGTCATATGCTAAATGCGCACGCGCCGCGTTGCTTTTTTGTTGCTGCTGTTGTTGTTATTGTTTTTTTTTGTGGCCGTGAAAGGACTTGTTGCATAATTATGCGCCGCATGCGAGTAAATAAAAAATAAACATGAACGAACGGACCAAAAAAAAAGATGTGAGAGCAAAAAACATAACTAAACGATGTATTTATGAATGAAGATCTCTTTAAAGCAACTCCTCTCTCTACCTCTCTCTCTCTCTCTCTCTCTCACTCTCGTTGTCTCCCTCTCTTTCTCTCTCTAGCCTCGACGCCGTTGATTTGGATGATAATGAGCTCGATTAGCATTTTGGCTGCATTTTTTTTTTACTCCAGCGCCTGCTCGGCTCCGGTTTGAGTTCGGTTCGGTTTGGTTCGTTTTTGGTATCGGGGGTTTCTCGCACCTAGCTGTCTGGCCGGCGCACTTGCTTATAATTATTAGCATAATTTTCATCTTATTTTGCATTAATTTGTGTATTGCTTCACCGAAACCACCAACAACAACAGCAACACATAGACAAACGCAGGCAGCAACAAGAAAAAAACACAAACAAACAAGCAAACAAACTTTGCCAATTATTTTGGTCATAATTTGAAGACCAGATAACAACAAATATAAAAAACTGGTCTGGTTTTTTCAAGCGCTTTATTTACAGCGCAAAACAATTAAGTCAATGCGAGGGAGTCGAACTTATAAGCGATACAATTTGAGTGCCTAATTATTGTGTCGTTATTCGGCTGCAAAACAAAGGCATTAAATGCAATCAAATTTATGCGCTTAAAGGATTCAGCAGAAATATTAATACCTTACTTACTCCACTTACAAATATGATATATTTATTATGTATTATAATGTAGAGTAAACAAATATAAATATATATATGGTCTCTTGAAGTAAAAATATAAAAATACATTGGCATAAGCAATATAAACGTTAACATATATATAAACAATTAAAGCAAAGTACCTCAGTTAAATCACGGAATAACAGTTCTGCTGTGCCACATCATCATATTCTTAACATTTCAAGTCTCTACCTACTTTATATGCAACTTCCTTAATCCTCAGCGCAAAAATTCATTTGCAAACAGAAACGTTTCATTAGATAAATGTCAAAAAAAAAAAACTCAGCTGCAAATTTTCATGGGCAACCCAAAAGACAACGTAGAAACGGGAACAACAACAACAACCCATCCCAGCCAGACAGTCGGTCAACTCTTTACCATATGCGCAATCAACAAAAAAACAAGAAAAATTGCGCGCCAAAAAAAAAGAAGACTACATGCTACAGACTTCAATTTGAAGAAGCTACCCAAAAGACAGACAGTCGTAGCAAAAACAACATCGTCTTGAGTACACAACCCCTTTTTGGGCTACCCCTTTGTGGCAAGGTCAAACGTGCTGCTCACGTAGGCAAATCGCATAGGCAAATGTGTTGGCAAGCAGCGGCAATAGAAGAGGAGGAAGAAGAGTAGGACTCGCTGTTCCCTTCCTGTCGAGATGCAAGCAACCATTTATCATTTTTTTCCGCTCCTTTGGAAATTTTTGAAATTTGTGCAATTTGGCGATTTTGCAATTTTTAGCGATTTTGCATGCAACGGCAGTTAAAGTCTTTCGTTCTCTCTCCCTCTCGCTCTACCTTACTCGTTCTCTCTTTTCGACTGCAATCAGGCCGCGCCCGCTTATCCTTTGGCCTTTATCCTTTCACTTTCGCTACCTACAAACACACACACAGAGTACCCCAGCAGTTTGCCAAAATTCCAGCACACAGATACACAACACACTCACAGGACTCGTTGTCATATGCAAATTAGCTCAGCCTAAAAAAAGTAGAAAATTTTCGCGTCCCGCCAAATAAA